AAGATAAAATCACATCAAAGTAGACTTAATTTTCTGAAAGGTATTTTACAAAAGAAAAACACTGTTGAGTCCTGTTTAATGAAATTAAAAAAAAAGTTTGACTTAAAAAAATAACCACCAAACCTTCGAGTCAGTCCAGGTTCTCAGCTGGTCAGACTCTCCTGCAAGCTGGGGACTGGGGCCCAGGAGCAGTGCCAGCAGCACTTTCCTCCGTCAGATGCCGAGTGCCTCAGTTCCTTCCTTATAATAAAGGTGAGAAAAGCCTTCTTCAGTCCAGTGAACAGACTCACCCTGGGAGAGCTCTCTGGGCCAGGCCCTGGGCTGGGTTCTGGGGCTCAGCAGTGAGTGAGGAGCCTCCTCCTCTGTATGTATCTCTCCTTGTCTGTCCCTTATAAGGACACCTGTCACTGGATTTAGGGCCCATGCAGGTCATCCAGGATGACCTCATCTCCAGATTTTCAATGTTATTATATCTGCAGAGACCGTTTCTCCAAACAAAGTCACATTCCCTGGGCCCAGGGAGGTAACGTGCTGATCACAGAGCTGAGGAACAGGGTGGGTTGGGGCAGCACCCAGGCTCTCCCACAGCCAAGTCTGTGCGCGTCACCAAGACCCGAGGCTCTTTTCCTCCCAACAGTTGGGTCCCTCTCCCTTCCTCACCCGCCCCTCTGCCACGGGGCCAGGGCCAGAGGAGCACACGGAGGGGAGAGGGCAGCGATTCCTTGCTCTTTCTCCTTTTTGTCCACGAGCAGGATGTCCAGGGGATGTTCAGGTTCTCCACCTGAGGCGCCCTGCTGGGCAGGTGAAATACCCTACTTCTTCGAGCCGCCAGGGTCAGAGTGAGTGAGTGAGCAGAGGTTTCTAGCCTTCTACTGGCCAGCCTGATCCCAGATTGCTGGACCTCCAGCTTTCCTGCCTCCTCCCACATCCTTCTGCCTGTTCCGCTGGCCCTCCTTCCCAGCCACCGTCATCAGCCCCCCATCCCATAGCACAGCCGAGGTGGATGGGGTCCACTTACCACTTCGGGTGACAATGCCACGTTAGACCTTCCTAAAAAGGTCCCATCCCAGGAAGCCTTACCTGCAGGCTCGCCAAGAACACTTCCCTTCCCAAGAATCCTATTTTTGCTGGGCTTGGTGGTAGTGCAAAGAGGCGGATAGGTGACAGGGAAGCCGTCTGAAGCAGGGACAATCCACCTGGGGCCTGTGACAGGCCACGTGTTGGGTGTACACAGGACACTGAGCCCTTTGCCCAGCAGAGAGTTGCCTGAGTGATGGAGAGTCCAGGCAACTCACAGGACATCCGAGTCCTAAAGGGCAGCCTGTGAGAATCCACGGGGACACTGTGCAGCCTTCAGTGGGAGCTCACCCTTCACTGGCCCAAGAACCTGAGCACCGGCTCAGCGATGCAGGAGCATTTCCGGCAGTGGAGAGACAGTGGGAAAGCTGCAGCCCAGCTGTTGGAAGGAAACCTTTCTCCCATCCCTTTCTTTAGAGCACTTGGGTGAGAAACTGCCCCTTTGTGAATCCCTGCTCTGGCCCTTTGAGATGTATGTAAATCTTTGTCAACCTAAATAAGCCTCCTGCCAGACTTACAGCCCAGGAAGGTTCTTTTTAAGGGCCCCAGAGTCAACTTTTTGAAACGCAAACCTCCAGGAAGGGACCCTAGCTCCCGCTGCAGGCAGAGAGAAAGCTTTCATTGTCTTGAGGATAAAGGCAATTCACAAACACAGATGGCCATCCTGATTAGCCGGTGAATTTGCCATGAGCTCAAGTGGGCGATCTTGGGCAGTCCTGCCTTCCCAGCAGGCCAAGGTTTCCTTCTGGCTTCGCAATCTCATGACAGACGGCCTGAGATGGGCATGAAGGGCAGATGGGTTCACAGCTTATTCAATAGTGAAGCTGTTTGCTTTCTGGCCCACTTTGCGGAGAGAACTCCGGGGTGGCAGCGTCCAGGGGGAGAGGGAGGTCATGGATCTGTCCTACTTAAGAGACCCCAGCTGCTGGGTTAATTCTGTGCAGGTTTTTGTGTACCAATTATACCTCGATAAAGTTCAGGAAAATAAAAGTAAATTTGAAAATAAATTTTAAATAAAAGAGAGGTCCTTGGGATGCTAACCAGGAGACAATAAAGAAGGAGTAGGGTCAGGATAGAAACAAGATAACACGTGATTGAACACCCTCTGAGAGAACAAAGGCTCCCCCATCTACACAGTAGGTTGGCTCACCAAGCTTCAAGACCCAGGCATGCCCTAATGAACATTCTGGAGATCCCAGGAAGACAAGAACATCTTGGAAGATTCTGAACAAAAGGAACCAGCCATAGCTGAAATGGATCATCAACTAAAAACAAAGCACAGCGTAAAAGTTGAGAATTGTTTTCTTCGGGGACATTACTATACTTCGGGACACAGACTCTCACATCAAAAGCTTACTGCTAATCATGAAAACCAGACCTCTCAAGTTAATGAATTAAGTGCTTCTCTATGTATGGGAAGACACAAGAGCCTGGGCTCATTGAAATCATTCCTTTGATACAAATCTTAACTCTCTAGGGCCAGTATCCTGTTCTTCTCCATCCTGAAAGTTTGGGAATTTTGAGAGTGGGTTGTTAAACACCAGCATTATTAAAAATTAAATTATATAAAGTTCCACTTAAATTATGTCTTCTTTCACCACATTTCACGGTTATTTATGTCTTGTATCAGTTTGCTGGGAATCAATGTGACAGTGTGCTGCTCAGAATCTCTTCAGTGATGCCACATGAACTTGGCCTGGTGGAAGTATTTGCCCCACAGGAATCAGCACAGCCTAAAAACCAGGGCTTGACCTGTTATTGTTCACTTGATTGTATAGATTTGAGTCTAGTAATTACAATGTGAATAGCAAAAAACAAAAAAGGAAAAACTTTCCCAACATCAAAAACTATTATCTGATTTGGCAGAGAATTTGCTCATGCCACCAATGAGCGTGTGAGGCGCCCTTGTCGTTTCACGTCCGTCTTCCTAGGTGAGGTAAGTGAAAACGCCAACCAGTGCTTATGTAGCGACCACACTCAGTCACAGGGTGCAATTTTGGGTCAGGTACAGATATGAGAGTTTGGCAAAAGTCAACTGAAAGGATTTTGTGAGAATCAACTGGCTGTATGGAATTTATAAACAGTGTATCATATATTTTAATGTGTATTGTGTATATATTTTAGATTTTACTGGCAAATTGTCTGCTCACATCCTTTACATCAATAAAATTCATAATAAACTTACATACGTCTGTATGTGTCTCTGTGTATGTGCATATATATCCAAAGAGAGAGAGAGAAATAGACACACACACACACAGACAGGTTTGCATTATTATTTTCCTGGAAAGCCACAGTCGCCGTTTATCAGCATATCACTGCTTTCAGGCAGCAGGGCAGGCCCCAGCCTGTCTACCTGGCACAGAAGGCTAAAGCTTGGCAAGCCCAGTCCAAGCAGAGGCTCGGGGAGGTCACCCGAGGCCAGCCTGGAGTGGTGACGGAGAAGCACCTGGGCCCTCAAAAGGTGACAGGGCACAAAACCCGAGACCATGCTGTAGTGGTGGCAGTGGCCCCGGATCAAGCCACCAACCTGCTTGCTCGGGCCTGGAGGGGCCTTCTTGGCATCTCCCGCTCAGTGAGCTGGTGGCCCAGAGCCTGGCCAACCAGGTAAAGGGGACTCAGCCTCACCGTAGTTCTCACGGCGTCCCCACTCCTTCAGCTCCAGCCTGCCGCCAGCTCCTGGACCGAGGCACAGCCTTGTGCCCTCTCCCTGGCAGTGCTCTCCCGGGGCAGGGGGCCGAGCTGACCACCCCCCTCAGGAAGCTCAGCAGTGCACAGACCACATGCAACCACACCTGCAAGCTCATCCCCCAGATCTGCCCCTGTGGCGCCCCCCCACCCCAACCCCTGCCATCCTGTCTGGGCCAGGCCAGCGGTTCTCCCTCCAAAAGGGCTATAGTCCATTCTCCACATCGCAGCTTGAGAAGTATTGTAAAACCGTAAATCTGATTTCTCCTCTACCCTGCTTATAACACTCTGTTGCCCCCCATGGCCTTCAGGTTGGTCCAGACCGCTGGCCCAGGCAATGACGGTGGCCCAAGGTGGCTGCTGCCTGTGTTCTGGCCTCACCATTCTGCCCCCTTGCACGTCGCTGTGGCTCTAGTCACTCTGACCTACTTAGGATTCCTGGACAGCCCAGCTGGCTCAAGGCTCAAGGCTCAAGGCTTTGCTCCTATGAGTCACTGTCGGGCATGGTGGCCCCACCCACCCCACCCCTTCTCACCCGCTCTCCGGCTCCCGGACATCTTGCCCCTGCCTTGCCCCACCCTTTGGTGACACAGGTGGGGCCCCAGAGGCAGGTGAGCTGGCTCCCCAAAGCCCAGCTGAGGGAAGCGGCTGCCGAGAAGCTGCCCTCCGCACAGAGCAGCCTCCCGGCCTGTCAGACCACACCACAAGGGACGCAGGGCTCAAGACAGACTCCTTCCTAGGTGTCGCCCTCAATACACCAGCCCAGCACCTGTCCTAGTGCTCCAAGTTGGCTATGCAGCACAGCCTGGAGCCCACACGGTACCCACCCCTGTCACGCTAGACATTCCAGGCCCTCCTCTAGCACCCTGGGTGTGCCCCACACCATTCTGCTCTGTGTACTTGTCATCTCATTTCATCCTGCTGCCACTCAACCAGCGAGACAGAAGCTCTGGGAGACAAAGGAGCCGGGCAGCTCTGCGGACTCAGCTCCCTGGGCTTAGCCCGAGTTCCCTCAGGAACAGCCAGGGAGGAGGCCGGTGGCTTGGGGTCCACAGCCTCAGCCTGTCAGCCCCTTGGACCAGGTGGTGAGCGCCCACACCTCCCCCACCCACCCACCAGGCTCACCGTAGAGATAGGCCACCAGGGGGTAGCCCTGGGGGCTCTGCTCTGGCCCCTGGCCTGGCTCACCCACTCCGGGCAGGGTGTGGGGAAGGGGGCAACCAGAAAGCCAGCTGGTGAGCTGTTGTCACTATTTATTGAAAGACAGGGTGATGAGTGGGAACCAGCAGCAGCAAAGTCCATGGGAACACAGGTTGGGGGAGGGCAGAGAGGAGGCTCCAGGGCTATGGGGAGAGTTAGGCCAGAGACTGGGGAAAGCCTGGTGGATGCCCTGCCCAGAGTTGCCCAGCCAAGAGGCTGTGGGGAGGGGCAGCGAGGTGGCGGTCCGGTGCCCGCTCCAGGACTCCAGGCCTGGCTGAACGGTTGAGGCTGGCACTGCCCATGGTGCAGGGAGTGGGCCTCTTTGCCCTGGGTGACAGTGTCATCAAGGCCCTGGCTCAGAACTTGAGACTCGGGCCATCGGGTGGCACATACATGGGCTCAACATTGGCCCAGCTGAGGGCCTGCTCATCGGCCCAGGCAAGCAGCTCGGCGGCTCGGTGCAAGAAGACCATGAGCAGGGTGTGCACATCCCCCTCAGCCGAATGGGCCGCGCTCGGTTCCGCCTGAAAGTAGCGGCGGAAGAGGCTGCCCAGGCTGTAACACTTGCTGCCCTGGGCCCGGGTGCCGTGGCTGTGGGCACGGTCCAGGCCCCGCAGCGCCAGCAGTGTATCCAGGCAGACAGTGTCCCCGGGCAGGTGGGCGCCTAGGCGCTGCAGCTCCATGCACAGCAGGGGGAAGTCATAATCGAAGCCGTTGTGGGCCACGAGGCAGACAGGGCCTTCCTGGCGGCTTAGGAATCCCTGCAGTGTCCGCACCACGGCGTCGTCAAAGCCTGCCTTCCGGCACCTCGCCAGGCCCTCATTGCTCAGGCCAGTGATCTCGCTGGCCCTGGTGGTGAAGGGGCGCTCCGGGCTCATGCACAGTGTGAGCTTATCCAGGACCCGGGGCAGCACAGGGGCGCCAGACTCGTCAAGCTCTGGATTCTCCAGCAACGAGCGGTGGACGGCAAACAGGGAGATCTCTGCGATCTCAGGGTCCACGCTGGGGAGACCGGTGGCTTCCAGGTCCAGGAAGACAAAGGTCTCAGCCTGGGGTGCCTTGGACATGGTGATGTTCTCACAGGGACAGTGAAGCCTATAGCTGCCAAGGCAAGAGGCGCAAAACCTGAGGGCCAAGAGATGGGGATGCCTGGACCCAGCCACCCACAGCCATGCTCGTGGCCAAGGTTCCCACCCGTGGTCACCCCCTGCCACCTCATGGGACTTCAGGCTCTAGGAGCCATTTCTAAGAGCCATATCCAGGCAGACTGTTCAGGGGCCTCCAGAGCTGGGACCCAGTGACTGGGGCCTGTTACTTCTTTTCTGTCCAGGGTGAGGTCTCCTAGAGGATTGTCACCCCATCCACTCTGACTCTCTGTCCCTCCCTGGCCATCCCCACTACTACCACCTAGTTGACAGCAAAAGGAAGATCTGACATGCACAGACCCCAGCCCAGAGGCCTCTGCCTCTGGCCTCCAGGGACACGGACATGGACAGGAAGAATGTGCCAGGCCCATGTCATCAGGGACTGGGGGAGGTGCAGCCCAGGATGGCGTCCTCACTGACACACCATGGCCAGGAGCCTTTGGCAATGCACCCCAGGGTCAGCAGCTGGGAAGCAGGCAAATGGGCACCCGAGAAAGCCCTCACGGTCACCCCCAGCCTCCCTGGCTTGGCCTCGTCTGGCCTCCTCCCTGGCACACAGGTCCTGGCCTGAATCCAGCCTCCACCTGCCTCCGGGACCCTGGCAGCTGTCCTTGCCAACCCTGCCGTGCCGGCTTACCTGGGGCAGGTGTTGGCCGGCTTCCTGGGCTGCTGGGCACCTGTCTCCACACAGTCTGCTCCAGGCGGCCTTTAATCTGCGGCCGTGGCCCGCCCCCAGCCGCCTGTTGGGCAACACGGAGGATTGAGGCCGCAGGACTTGTGTGGCCAGCTCGCCGCCTCCTTGGTCGCTCACGGCCACTGGGACACACGCTCCGTGTTTATAGACTGGAAACTGGCTCCCGGGCCGCACACAGGCTCCATGTCATCACAGGCACGAGAAGGGAGCCCAAGCCCTCCACCCAGCCTTGACTCCGAGTCTAACTGGGCCCAGTACCGCAGCTGGGCCTGGCTTACGTTCAACACCCAGCCCCAGGCTGGGGCATCTCCCATGGAAGCAATGAGGCCCCTTCTCCAGGACACGGCTCCCCCGTCACAGGGGACTGAGCTGCCCCTTGGGAAGCTAACGTGAGCTGTAAGCACAGGCCTCGGTGTTGCCCCAGTGACAGGGGGTGGGGTGCCTCAGTGCAGCCCACACGCTGCCTGGCCATGCCTCACCCACCTTGTGGGCTCATCTTCCACCAGGAAAGGGAGACGGAGTCTGTTTCTCACATATAATGACCCATAATATCTAAGGAGACTTTAGCAGAGACCACCAGGCAAGGAGAAAGAGGCAAGGTGGGCAGAAGCAGTGGGGGTAGGGGGGACAGGGACGGTCTCAGAGGCACCCACAGCCCCAGCCTCTCAGAACCCAGGCTCTCGGGCCTCCCCAGCCCCAAGGGTTCAGTCAGGGGTGAAAGGCAGTCAAAATGGGAGGGGACTGAGGCCCTCCCTGGTCCAGGAAGCAGGTGGCATTATCCCCAGGACCTCATGCCAGGACAAGACGTGCCAGCCCTTGGCAGTGGGTGCTCACAGGCCCAGTCTCCTGCTGGGGTACAAGGTGGCAATTGAGGTGCTGGCAGCAGCCTGCCCACTGCAGGTTCGCCAGAGTCCCTTAGTCTGTAAAGCTGTTGGTGAACCTGGACTGTGGTGACCACGGGCTGGCCTGTCTTCCCGTAGCAGCCATCTGGGAAGTGTCCCAGGCAAGCGACTAGGCCCAGGGGCTCCGGCAGCCCAGGTGGGAGGGGACCTGGTGTCCAGCTCCCAGGAGCCTCCTTGTCTGGAGCACCCACAGGGGAACTTGGGGAAACGAAGGTGCAGATACAGGGAGCAGGCCAGAGCGGGTAAAGCTGACACAGCCTAGAGAGGGAGGCCCCTCCCTCACCCCCTTCCACCTGCGGCTGGGCTGAGGAAGGCGTGGCCCCACCAGTTGTGCCTGTTCCCGTGCTTGAAGGGAGGGAGGAGGCTGTGACAGGCACAGCGCTCAGCGCTCAGGGAGATGGGTCACCCTGGGAAGCCCAGAGAACAGCTTCCTGGACAACCAGTCAGGCCACAGCACAAGCTCCCCAGGCTGGTGCGGTGTCCTGGGGAGGGAGGAGGAGGAAGCACATGGCCACCCGCTGCATCCAGGTGCGGTGCGTGCCTGGCTGAGGGGCTGCAAGGAGGCCTCATGTGGGGGCCCCCAGGCAGCA